CCCTCGAGTCAGGCTCCCGATAACAGCTAGTACAAAAATGATGAGTGATGACAAAATTGGAAGTTCCCATGCGGGTAGCCTCAACAAGGAGAATCCCGCCATCAATTCCGATGCCGGCTCCATGGATTATGGGAGGAGCTAATCATCACATTCAATAAAGGTGGACTCCTTTGCCTCGGATGCTACAAGGAGAGATGAGTCGCAGACTAAACAGGAGACGGAATGCTGCAATGCATTGGCACGACTTGAAAAACTCATCGCAGAACTTCATGAGTATGTCCAGCCCAGGATAAATGTCCACAAGGAGATCAAATGCAAGGTGGCAACTATCGGCAGCGCATTCAAATGCCTCAAAAGTTTGGAGCGGCACGCATCAAAGCACGACCCTCCTTCACCAAACCCGTGCAAACTCCACCAGCACCACCCACGTTGCCTTTACGAACGGACTCCGAAACTTCGGCAAAGGACTCGGATTTGGAGGATCCGAATACCATGCAGTCGGCCTGAGATGTCCGCAAGGCTGTGCGGAGAAAGCGCTCGAAAGGCTCACCTGCGGAAGAAGCTCAAACTTTGAAGAAGCTGAAGCAACAGGATCTGACCAGCAAGGCAGCCCCGTAGATGGTGGCAACTCCAGATCCACCTGTTAAGCCTGAATGGACGCAGGTGAAGAACAAGAAAGAGAAAAAGAGGCAGGCCGGGCAGTTCCACCCACAGCTGCCTCCCAAAAAGATGAAAAAAAGAAGAAACAGGAGAGGGCTACTCGGAAACCAGTGATGCGACCTGATGCGCTAATTATACACCCCAAGGATAAGGAGAGGTACTCCGATATACTTCGTCGGGCGAAGAAGGATGTTCCCTCCGAGGACGCTGTCGATTGTGTCAATAAGATCCGCCGTACAGCAACCGGGGATATGCTGATCATCCGTAGCAGAAAGACGACTGACGGAGAACCTAAGCTGCATACGGCCATCGTCAATCTCCTTGAAGATGAGGCTGAGGTGCTCAGTAAGGGGCCACAAGAAGATCTCGAGATCAAAGATCTCGACGAAACTACATCGAAGGAGGAGATCATCGAAGCCCTAAAAGTAGCAGCTGGGGAGGAAAACGAGATCCAAACGGATGCGATCAAGTCCCTTCGTAAAACTTATGGAGGTACCCAGACTGCCTCAGTGAGATTCACAACTACGACAGCGAAGAAGATCCTGGGGGAGCACGGGAAGATTAAAATAGGCTAGGTCAATTGCCGAGTGAGAAGAGTGGAGAGGCCATTAAAGTGCTTCAAGTGCTGGCACTATGGCCATCTCGCCACCAAATGCAAGAGTGGGGTCGATCGGTCCAAGATCTGCATCAAATGCGCTGAGCCGGGCCACGCCGTTGCTGCCTGCAAAAAGGAACCCAATTGTGCCCTGTGCACTGAGAAAGGGAACACGAAGAACTGCGCTCATATTGCTGGCAGTACCAGGTGCCCAGTTTATTAGGAGGCTACAGAAATTAAACAACAAATGACGATGAAGGTGCTACAGCTCAACCTCAACCATTGCGAGGCCGCACACGACCTGCTCATGCAAACGGTGCGAGAGCTGAAGCCTGACCTGGTTATGATCTCGGAGCCATACCGACATCTTGGCACCCAATCCTGGAGTACTGACGCCAGCAAGAAGGCTGCAGCCTGGGCGTGTAGAAATCAGCCATTCCAAAGTATCACCGCGAGGGTATACATAATGGGTTTTTGAAGGCTAGGGTCGACGGAATTTACTTCTACAGCTGTTATGCCCCACCGAGCCTCCCCTTGGACGAATTCACTTCCTGGACGAATTGACCGAGGATGTGAAGCGGCACTTTCCCGTGGCAATAGCTGGGGATTTCAACGCCTGGGCAGTTGACTGGGGAAGTAGGGAGACGAATCCCAGAGGGCAAGCCATACTGGAAGCCATGATAGCGTTGGACGTGGTTTTGCTGAATAGCGGCGACGAACCGACTTTCATGAGAGGAGATGCGACATCGATTGAGGACCTTACATTTGTGAGCAGCACTCTTGCAAAAGAGAAATGCTCATGGAGAGTAACAAACATTGAGACTGCAAGTGACCACTGCGCGATTCTGTGGCAGGCAAATGTTGGCCAGAGAACCGCCTTAACACCAAAGGAGACCAACGGCATTGGCTGGAGGGTGAGCACTTTTGATCCTAGCTCCTATTCAGCAGCGTTGGACGATCGCCCGATAAGTGGTAGCAATGCCACTGAAAAGGCACAAAATGTCATAAGAAGGCTGACGGAAGCCTGCGATGTAACCATAACCAGAAAGCGGGCCACAAACCGGCACCCACCGGTGTACTGGTGGAATGAAACTATCGCCACCCTACGCAAAGAGTATAATGCAGCTCAGAGACGATCGCAGCGTGGCCACAAGCAGCCGAATTCCGAGGAGTTGCAGACAAGATATACGGAAGCACGCCGAAACCTCAGCAAGGCCATCAAGCGCAGTAAAAAGCAATCTTGGAGGGAACTCCTTACTGAGGTGGAAGCGATACGTGGGGTAGACCATACAAGGTGGTGATGTCGAGACTGAATAGTTGGCCAATGCCGTCACCAACGTGTCCTGTGCTGATGGAAAAAATCGTCACGGTGTTGCTCCCGCAACAGCCAGAACTTCATCGCACAGAAGAAAAATGGAAAGAGATGATTATTCCACCAATCACTAAGCAAGAACTGATGGAAGCCTGCAATAGCCTTGAAGACAACTATCCACGCGATGCCAGAGATATTTTTGGACGTATACAACGAGTGCCTAAGGGAGGGCTCCTTCCCTGCCATGTGGAAGCAGCAGAGCCTTGTACTACTCCCGAAAAGGAAAAAACCACCGGACGATCCGTCATCATACCGTCCGTTCTGCATGCTCGATACCGCTGGCAAAATCCTCGAGCGTATTGGCCACCAACGTATAGAAACAGCAGTCGAACCCTTCTTGGCGGACAAACAATATGGATTCCGGAAAGGACTGTCCACTCTGGATGCGATCAGCCTGGTCGTCCACATCGCCAAGAACGCGATCTCAGGAAAGAGATGGCTAAATGGCACGAAGAAGTATTGCTAGTAGCGACACTAGACATCAAGAATGCTCTCAACTCGGCCAGGTGGGACCGTATCATGGAGGCTCTTTAGCATTTCAATGTACCGGGATACTTGCGGAGAATGGTAGACAGTTACTTCACTGGAAAAGTCCTCAAGTACGACACGGAGAGTGGTCCTGAGGAGTATAGAGTAACCGGAGAAGTACCTCAAGGCTCAGTATTAAGTCCCGTATTGTGGAATATCATGTATGACGGGCTGCTGAAACTGGGATTGTCGCGGGAAACTAAACTCGTGGCATTTGCAGATGACGTGGCTGTAGACATTGTGAGCAAATTTATGGAGCAGATCAATTACACTTTTGACATGACCTTTGAAACGATCCGCTGTTGGATGGACACAGTCGGCCTGAAGCTGGCGGAACACAAGACAGAGGCGGTGTTGATCACCAGCAGAAAGGAAATAGAGACGATATCGCTGCAGGTCGGGTCCTGTGAAATTACCTCCCAGCCGTATATACGATACCTGGGGGTGATGATCGATGCTCGACTTAATTTTAAGCAGCAAACCGAGCACGTGGGTGCCAAGGCGTCTGCAGTCGGATCTACTGTATCGCGCCTCATGCCTAATATCGGTCCTAAGCAAAAAAGACGAGCGCTGCTTTCATCTGTCATCACGTCAGTACTCACCAATGGCATTTCCATCTGGGCTGATGTGCTGCACATGGCAGAATCACGGCGAAAGGTAGCATCATTGTATCGACTGAGTGCTCGGCAAGTAGCGTGTGCATACCGCACGGTGTCCGAGGATGCAGTATGCGTCATTTCCGGTATGTTACCTATTGAGGTATTGGCCGAAGAGCGAAGGTCTCTGTATCGACGCAAAAAGTCGGAAACATAAAGCGCAGCAGAGCTCAGCGCAGACGAGAAGCGTAGAAGTTTACAACGATGGCAGCGAAAGTGGAACGCCTCTATCAAGGGCAGATGGACCCATCGCCTGATCCCACAGTTGGCCGTCTGGGTAAGTCGAAAAAAAGGAGAGGTCAATTATTACCTGGCACAAATGTTTCCAGGAGACGGGTGTTTCCGAGCGTATCTTCACAAATACAAACACGAAGATTTCCCGGAATTCCTAATTTGCACAGGAGTCGCCGAAGATGCAGAGCATGTATTCTTTACATGCCCCCGCTTCAGTGAGGTCCGAAGTACGTGGGAGTCCGACCTGAGAAAAGAGGTCAAACCTGAGAGCCTGGTGGACGCAATGCTGTCATCAAAGGCAGCCTGGGACACGACGTGTAACTTTGCGGCCGAGGTCATGAAGAAGCTCAGAAATGAGGAACAAAAGCGCAATGCTGCAGTATAGGTGAGAAATGTTATTGGAACTTCCAAATCACGCAGAACATTTTAGCGGGATGAGGGACGTGCATCAGATGAAAAAACGTGGAAGAGCTAACAGCTGAGACCTCCGTCGCGAAGTAATACTTTACAGTGATGCCGCGAGGGGATGAAAGGTTAGTGGAAATATGTCTGACTGGAGTTTAGTCAGTATTGTTAGTTTTTGTCCGAGTCCGACACTCATTTGACGGAGGGATCCTGCTGTCCCCTACCTCAAGTGGTCGTGCGTAAATGCATTCTCCCAACAGACAAAAAAAAAAAAGACACAGACAGACACAGGCAGACACCGATAGACACAGGCACACACAGAACCTGGTCGTTAACACCGCTAAGGACGCAATCAAAAAATGGCTAAATGATACAAAGAAATACTGCTTGGTGGTTCGTACGTCGGTGGATGGACAGAGTGGGGCTGACACAGGCAGAAAACAAAACGGAAGCCGTGCTGATTACTAGTCGGAAAAAAGTTGAGACAATCACGCTGAAAATTGAGGATTATGAACTCACTTCCCAACCGTTCATTAGGTACTTGAGAGTGATGATTGATACCCGCTTGAACTTCAAGCAGCAGGTGGAACACGTGGCAACCAAGGCCTCAGGGGTTCGAACACTCTTATCCCGCCTCATGCCAAACATTGGAGGTCCCAAACAAAAAAGAAGAGCGCTGCTGTCTACGGTGGTGACGTCAGTGATGACTTATGGGATTCCCATCTGGACCGATGCGCTCCAGTTCCAGGAATCTCGGCGTAAGATCGCTAACGTCTATCGGCAGAGCGCCCTGAGAGTTGCTAGCGCGTACCGCACAGTGTCGGAAGATGCAGTTCGTGTGATCGCCGGAATGCTGCCCATCGAAGTATTGGCTGAAGAGCGGAGGTGTCTTTACCGGCGGACAAGACACCCTACATTGAGCCCAAACGATCTCAGGGAAGAGGAGAGACGGAACAGCACTCGCCGATGGCAGGTGTTGTGGGATATCTCAGCGAAAGGAAGGTGGACTCACCGTCTAATACTACAGTTAGATATTTAGCTGAACCGTCCGGACGGAGAGGTCCACTACTATCTGACGCAGATGCTCTCAGGATACGGATGCTTCCGGAATTATCTTTATAAATTCAAACTTGAAGAGACCCCGAAGTGCCCGACCTGCAGTGGAGAAGGAGAAGATGCTGAGCACGTGTTTTTTAGATGCAAACGCTTCTAATGGCTTCGCAGTAGTTGGGAGACTGCAGTTTTGAAAGAACTTCGACGCGAGGAGCAGGCCAGGAGGAAGTAATGAGAACATCCGAGAAGAAGGAAGCATTGTCTTCAACCACCTGATGGGAGAGCTACGGCTAAGACCACCCCTGCGAAGTAATGTCTAACGGCGGTTCCGTGGGGGGAAGTAGAATTACAGTGTCGTGGTCTGTTTTTTAGTCCGTATGGGTTGCAAATTTGCCGAGCTGAAAGCAGGTCCCACTTACCGGGAGTGAGACCTGGGCTCGTGGTCGTTACCGTCAAGACCTGACCGTCTCGGGCATAACGTGCGTAAAGAGCATTTTCCAGACCATGACGGAAAAAAAAAATAAATAAAAAGACAGACAGACACAGAACCTGGTCGTTAACATCGCTAAGGACGCGATCTCAGGGAAAAAATGGCTAAATGCTACAAAGAAGTACTGCTTGGTCGTCACGCTAGATATCAAGAATGCTTTCAACTCGGCCAAGTGGGACCGTATTATTGAGGCATTGGTGAAATTCAATGTACCGAGATACTTGCAGAGAATGGTCGGCAGCTATTTCATTAGAAGGGTCCTTAAATACGATGCGGAGTATGGCTCCAAAGAGTACACAGTCACCGGAGGTGTACCGCAAGGTTCCGGATTGGGTCCTCTATTGTGGAACATCATGTATGACGGGCTAGTGAAACTGAAATTGCCGCGGGATACTAAACTGGTGGCATTTGCGGATGACGTGGCGGTAGTTATTGTGGGCAAATACCTGGAGGGAATCGAACTCAATTTTAACACGACCTTCGAGACGATTCGCCGCTGAATGGATAAAGTAGGCCTGAAATTGGCGGAACACAAGACGGAGGCTGTGCTGATCACCAGCAGAAAAAAAACCGAGACAATGAAGCTGCAGGTCGGGTCCTGGGAAATCACCTCTCAGCTGTTCATCCGATACCTGGGGGTGATGATGGATGCCCGACTCAATTTCAAGCAGCAAGCAGAGCACGTGGTTGCCAAGGCGTCTGGAGTTAGATCCACTTTATCATATCTCATGCCAAACATTGGAAGCCCCAAGCAAAGAAGACGAACGCTGCTGTCTTCAGTGGTTACGTCAGTGCTCACATATGGTATTTCCATTTGAGCTAACGTACTCGAGCTGCAGGCAGCACGCCGTAGGATCGCACAAGTCTATCGGCTGAGTGCTCTGCGAGTTGTGAGCGCTTACCGGACAGTATCGGTGGACGCAGTGTGTGTCATCGCCGGGATGCTCCCCATAGAAATATTGGCCGAAGAATGACCATCATTGTACCAGCAGAGGAAATCGAGAGCACTGAGCACAGTAGAACTCAATGCAGAAGAGAAGCAGACGAGTCTGCAGCAATGGCAGCTCAAGTGGGACACCTTTAATAAATTAATTATTATTAATTATTCTCTCACGCAAATGCTCTCCGGACATGAGTGCTTCCGAGCGTATCTTCATAAATTCAAACATGAGGATTCCCCGGAGTGCTTGGTCTATATAGGAGTTAACGACGATGCGGATCATGTATTTTTCAGATGCCCCCGTTTCAGTGAGAGCCAGAGTAATTGGGAAGTAGTCCTTCAAAGGGAAGTCCTGCCTGAGAATCTGATGGAAGCTATGATGTCATCACAGGCAGCCTGGCAAGCAACGAGCAACTTTGCAGCCGCAGTTATGAAGGAGCTCAGAAGTGAGGAACGCAAGCGAAAGGCTGCAGCATAGGTGAGAAATCTGCTAGAACCTCCTACCCACACCCAACACCCTAGCTGGATAGGAGGATGTACTTCAGATGCAAAAAATGTGGAAGAGCTAATAGCTGAGACCCCCCTCGCGAAGTAATACTTAGCGATGGTGCCGCGAGGGACAAGGCAAGCATAATTAGAGGTACAAAGAGGGAAACAGGGTTTTTACTGCGTAAAAATCCCAGATTTGGTTTTAACATCTCTTTACCAGAATCTTTTGAAGATTTTCCCAAACCTCTATGAGAAAAAAAAACAGACAGAAACATACAGACACTGCTACGCTCCGCCAAGCCTTTCCATTAATGAGTCCACGGACTTCCTAGATAGACTGACTGAGGATGCGAAGCAGCATTTTTCCGTGGCAATAGCCGGGGACTTCAACGCCTGGACAGTCGACTGGGGAAGTAAGGAGGCGAACACCAGAGGACAAGCTGTACTGGAAGCCATGTCATCCTTGGACGTAGTTCTACTGAACACGAGTGATGAACCGACTTTCTTGAGGGGAGAGAAGAGCCCAATTGTGGACCTTACCTTCGTGAGCAGCAACCTTGCAAAGAGGAACTGCTCATGGAGAGTAACTGATATCTACACTGCAAGCGATCACCGTGCGATACTCTGGGAGACATGTACTCACCAGAGAGCCTCCTTAATGCCTGAAAAGACCAATTGCATTGGCTGGAGAGTGAGCAGTTTCGATCCCAGCTCTTATTCGATAGCACTAGATGACCGCCCGATCCGTGGCAGCAATGCTAGTGAAAAAGCAAATACCATCATGAAGAGACCGACAGAAGCGTGCGATGCCACCATGTTCAGGAAGCGTACCACAAACCTGCATCTACCGGTGTATGGGTGGCCGTCCTACGGAAACAGTGTAACACAGTCAGAAGATTATCCCAGCGTGGCCGTAAGAAGCCAAACTTTGAGGAGTTGGAAATGCAATATAAAGAGGCACGCCGGAAGCTCAGTAAAGCGATCAAAAGCAATAAGAAGCTATCCTGGAGTGAGCTCCTTAATGACGTGAAAGCTGATCCATAGGGAAGACCGTATAAGGTGCTGATGATGAGACTCAAGAGTCAACCAATTCCAACGCCTACGTGCCCCGTGCTAATGGAGAGAATCGTCACGGTGTTGTTCCCGCAACAACGAGAGCTTCACTGCACTGGCGAACCGGAGAAAGAGATAATGGTCCCATCAATCACCAAAGAAGCATTGATGGAAGCCTGCAACAGAGTGGGTAACACCAAGGCGCCTGGCCTCGATGGGATTCCCAATATCGCGTTAAAATCAGCTATTCATGCGATTCCAGATCTGTTCTTGGACGTCTACAACGAGTGCTTAAGGGAGAACACCTTCCCGGCCATGTGAAAGCAGCAGAGCCTTGTGCTTCTCTCCAAGGGAAAGGAGCCACCAGACGAACCCTCATCATATCGTTCGCTCTGCATGGTAGACGCGGCAGGAAAAATCTTTGAGCCCATTATGCACCAAAGGATAGAAGAAGCAATAGAGCCACTACTGGCCGGTAACCAATATGGCTTCCGGCGAGGTCGCTCCACTCTAGATGCCATTGACCTATTAGTCAACCCCGCCAGGGAGGCAATTTCAGGCACACGGTGGGAAGGAGGTACGAAGAAGTACTGTCTAGTGGCGAAACTGGACATAAAGAACGCCTTCAACTCAGCTGAGTGGGATTGCATTATGGAGGCATTGTCGAGGATGACAGTACCAGGATACTTACGGAGGATGGTAACTAGCTACTTCACCGACAGAGTCCTCAAGTACGACACGGAGACTGGTCCTAAAGAGTGCGGAGTCACTGGAGGAGTTCCTCAGGGTTCGGTGTTTGGACCCCTATTGTAGAATATCATGTACGATGGGTTGCTGAAACTAGCACTGCCAGGAAGGGCGAGACGCGTGGCATTTGCAGACGACGTAGCTGCAGTCAATGTGGCGAAATACTTGGAGGAGATCAACTTCATATTCGACATGACCTTCGAGAAGATCCGTCGATGGATGGAAGCAGTTGGCCTGAAGCTAGCAGAACAGAGGAAGAAGAACGTACTCATCACCAGCATAAAGCAGGTAGAGATGATCACCCTGCGAGTTGGGGATCATGAATTCACGTTCCGACCGTACTTGCGGTACCAGGGGGTGATGATTGATAACCGACTCAATTGTAAGCAACAAGCCGAGCACATAGGAATCACGGCATCTAGAGTCAGAACCATCCTATTCCGGCTCATGCCCAATATGGGAGGCCCGAAGCAGAAAAGAAGAAATCTACTGTCGTCAGTGGTCACGTCATTCTTCACATATGGGATTGCTATCTGGGCTGACGCACTACAGAGGCAGGAATCACGGCGGAAAGTGCCACCCGTCTACCGGCTGAGTACCCTTAGAGTTACCAGCGCGTATCCCACAGTGTCTGAGGATACAGTGTGTGTCATCGCCAGGATGCTGCCCATTGAAGTGTTAGCCGAAGACCGAAGATCCCTTTACCGGCGGAAAGGATCACTGAGCTCAGCAGATTTGAGAACGGAGGAGAGGCGTAACAGCATTCATCAATGGTAGTTGCTGTGGGACGTCTCAACCAAAGGATGGTGGACTCATCACCTAATTCCACAGGTGGACGCTTGTGTAGATAGAAATCTTCGGACAGGTCAACTACTACCTGACACAGATGCTTACAGGACATGGGTGCTTCCGGGAATATCTCCATAAATTCAAACGTGAGAATTCCCCGGAGTGCTCGACCTGCATAGGAGTGGATGACGATGGGGAGCACGTTTTTTCACATGCCCACCCTTCAGCGAGATCCGGAGTACCTGGGAGTCTTCACTGGGAGGCGTGTTACCTGAGAATTTGATGGATGCTTCGCTGTCATCAGAGGCGGTCTGGGACGCAACGAGTAGCTTCGTGGCCAGCATCATGGAGGAGCTTAGAAAGAAGGAACGCAAGCGTAGTGCTGCAGAATAGCTGAGGAATTCATTGGAATTTCCTACCCACATACAACATTTCAGTGGAGCAGGAGGACGTACATTGAATGAAGTCATCGTGGAAGAGCAAACAGCTGAGACCTCCCTCGCGAAGTAGTACTTAACGGTGTTGCCGCGAGGGACACTAGGGTCGACGAATTCCCGGAGTCAAGTGGTTTAGCGGGTGAGGGCCCCACACAGGGTGTGGCAGTAACCGCCATGTTGCTGTCCACTATCGCGCGGTTAGGTACATTTGCCCCAAGACTTCGGAAGGGAGAAAAAAAACAGACAGACGCAGACAGGCACCAACGGACACAGACCCCTCCTAGGAACTGCAGGACCTTGTCGACGTTGGAGGGGCTTAAGGGATACATCCCAATCTAAGAAGCAGTTCAAGCCGAGGCCTGTTCTCTTCAGGTCATCTTCAGAGAGAAGCCCAACTTCAAAAGAGGCATGCAGGGTGGGCTCCCTATAATAGTCTACAAAGTGAATAGGGTGGGCACTCTTCAACAGCCTAGGTTATAATGAACAGTGATGAGAAAACGTAAAGTTCCCATGCGAGTATTCCTGGCAAAGTAAATCCCGCCGTCAGTTCCAATCGGTTGCAAGCCCCGGTGGCTGATGCCGGCTTCATAGATTGTGGGAGGAGCCAATCATCATAAAGTATCTCAAAGGTGGACTCCTTGGCCTCAGATGCTACAAGAAGAGACGAGTCGCAGACTCAACAGGAGATAGAATGTTGTCGCGCATTGGCACGACTTGACAAACTCCTCACAGAGTTACATGAGTTCGTCCAGCCCAGGTTGAATGTTTACAAGGAGATCAAATCCAAGGTGGCATACATCGGCAGTGCATTCAGACGACGCAAGAGCTTGGAGGAGGCATGTAACAAAGCTCAATCCAGTATCGCTGAGTCCGTGCAGACTCCTTCAGCACCATCCATGCTGCGTGTATATCCGGACTCCGAAACAACGACAAAGGACTCAGAGATGGAAGATCCAGTAACTCGAGATATCTGAAAAGTATTACGAAGAAAGAGCTCGATATGTTCACCTGTAACAGAATCTCAAAGCATGAAGAAGCTGAAGCAACAGGAACTGACCAACGAGGCTGCCCCGCAGGGGAGACCAACTGGTGATGGGTCAGATTGAAAGCTGGTCGATGTCAAGAAGGAACGGAAATAAGAAGAGAAACAGCTTCTGCAGCCACCTTCCAGGAAGAAGCAGAAGCAAAAGACACATTGGAAGTCAGAGCCAAGACCTGACGCTCTGATTGTCCGACCCAAGGACAAGGAGAAATACTCGGAGATCCTACGTGGAGTATAGAAATTTGTTTCTTCAAAGCAAGCTCGAGATTGTGTCGATGAGATCCGTAGAACAGCGACTGGGGATATGTTGATCATTTTGAGCCTGAAGACGACCGACGGAGCCCCCCAGCTGCGTACAGCCATCGCCAGTCTCCTTGGAGATGAAGCTCCGGTACTGAGTAAGGAGCCACAAGAGATCCTGGAGATGAAGGATCTCGATGAGACAACGACGAAGGAAGATGTCCTTGAAGCCCTACGAGCAGCAGCCGGAGAATGGTCAAAATATCAGTCAAAATGCGGAGGAAGGTCCTAGGAGAACATGGTAAGATCAAGATAGGATGGGTGAATTACCATACAAAGAGAGTGGTGAGGCCAGTCAAGTACTTCAAGTACTGGCAATATGGTCATCTTAGCACAAAATGTAGAAGCACAGTCGATCAATCAGAACTCTGTGTCAAGTGTGTAGGGGTTGGTCACAAGATGAAAGATGGTCAGAAAGAGCGGCAGTGTGCCCTGTGCACCGAGAACAACCCAGAGAACTGTGCCCCCATTGCTGGTAGCAGCAGATGCTCCGCATACAAGGAGGCACTTTAGGCGCTGACCAAAACACGAAGATGAGAGTACTACAGCTCAATCTCTATCACTATGAGGCTGCACAAAACCTACTTACACAGTCGGTGCGCGAGCTGCAGCCTGATCTTG